TAGCAAGACCTTGTTTCCCCAAAAATGGTGGGAATGTAGCTCAGAACAAAGCCCCTGGGTTCAATCCCCAGCTGAGAGAGAGAGAGAGAGAGAGAGAGAGAGAGAGAGAGAGAGAGAGAGAGAGAAGTCCTAGTGCAAGGTCATTGGGGATACTGCCTTCACAAGGGATTAATGTAGTTTTCCTAGGATCCCAGTTAGTGCCCTCAAGGGAGAGTTGTTATAAAAAAGCAAGACTGGCCTCCCCAATTTCTGATTTCCTGTCTCATCATATGATCCCTATCATATTCACTATATTAGTCACTTTCCTGTAGCTGGGACAAAATACCTGACACACCCAACTTAAAGGAAGAAATATTTATTTTGGCTCAGTTTCAGAAGGTTCAGTCCATGAATGGCTGGTTCTAAGGCATGGCAGAAGGGTATGTAGAAGCAAAGCTGTTTATCTATGGCAGCCAAAAAGCAAAGAGAAAGAAGAAGAAAGAAGTAAGGGGGAATCCTGGATAAAAATACACCCTCTCAGGTTACACCCCCAGTGACCTACCTCTTTTGACAAGCCCCCCTCACAAGAGTACATTCAACTGTGAAAAATCCACTGATGAGTATAGCATCCCTGTGATCTAAGCTCTCTTTACATGCCTGCCTCTAAACACGTGGGACTTTCAGGGATGTTTTAGACTTAACAAGAGCACTCACCGTCTACCATGAAGATTTGCCAGAGTCAGCACCATGTTCTTCAGATTTTTCTGCCTCCAAAGCCGTAAAGTAAACAAACCTCTTTTCTGTATGTTACCTAGCCTCAGGTGTTTTGTTATAGAAACAAAAGAAAGGAGACTAATACATTCTACAAGTGAAGAAGGTAAGGCACAGGGAAATTAACTTGCCCAAGATCACACAATGACTGATAGAATGAGGATTCCAACCAGTTATCTAGTTACAGAACCTACGTGTATATAATGTAGCCTCTCAATGTATCACATCCCCTTCTCCCTAGCTCAACAGTTTTATCATAGAGAATATGGGTAGAAGGCAACATGCAGGTAGCTCTGTAAAGGAAAGAGTGTCCTGAACTGGAAACCTGGGCTGCAAGTGGACCAATGCTCTATTTTCCCCTCCACGATGGGCCGGAGCTTTTTAAGCTAGAAATACATGGTCTGCACTATTCACCATCCACTCACTCATACATTTATTAATAATTACTCTCAAGCCTCTTCGCTTCACAGGGAAGGAGTTGGGATTCAGCATTAGAAAACAGCTACTGTTTTAATGAGCACTTCATTAACCCTCATAATCATTCTCCAGATTAGGTGTCATTTTTACCATTTTGTTGATAAGCTGAAACTTTGAAAAGTGAATTGCCAATTATCCTAAACTTTCAAAGTTTGAGGATCCTCCTGCTTTTTGTGGGTGTCCCAACCCTGGGGGGAAGTCCTAGGATTCATCCCTGAGGGGGCATCCTGTTGTAGGGAGGCTCCTGCCATTCAGATTACCACAGTGTTCTGCAGATCTTCACCTCACTTTGATTTCATACAATCAGTGGTGAACCACTAGCAAGAAGTGGAGCATACAAAAGAATGAAATCTGTTGTCTTTATTCTTTATTTGAACATCAAATAGATTGAGAAAATTGGCTTAGAGGTGCTTGAGTGTCCCACTGGATTCTTTACTTTTTCAAGGTGCAAACAAGGTTTACAAGTGTGTTTCATTAAACAAAGCAAAGCTGTGACAGAATGGAATCACATCAATAATAGTAGCATCAGCAGAAGGGCATATGGATCCATCCAACACAATTTGGCATTTGAGCCTTTTCCCCATAAAACAAGAGCTCTACACTGAAGAATATGTAGTGCACAAAAAGCATTGTTTATAAGCTGTGAGAGAACATAAACTGGCATAATGTCACTTATTAATTCAAGTCTCTATGACCAATGACCTCTCTGTTAATGCAAAGGGGTCTATGTCTCAGGCACCTGCTCATGAAACTATATGTTATTTCCAGGGTGCACAGCTCTGTACACACACACTAAAGATGGATTTGAAACATGGCAGCATTTACATATTTTAAAAGTTCAGGCACATTTGGATGCAAAAACAAAAAACAAAGAAGAATAGAAATATTTGAGTCTCGAAAAACAGTGCAAAATTGAAGTATCATAATATAGGCAGCAATTACGTAGAAAACAATTTTAAGTGACTTAAGAAGAGCTCACACTTTAAATGGAAAAATGAAGCTAGAAACAGAGAATAATTACACTAATGAAAAGATGGATATCAGGGACCACAGTTAAATCCATTTCCTCCAGGTGAGAGTGAGTAATTTCCAGGGTGTTAATCTAAAGAATGTGCAGTGTAACGTGGATCAACCTCCCAAGGCTTGCACCAAAGAGAATCATGGTTGCCTTATGAGCTACTGTATATCTCTATTTGCCTTTCAAAGAACTGGTTTCTCCAAGCAGATCTTCCTGTGAATGTTAAACATTACTATGGTCCTAGTGATCATTCCCAATATCCACAGTCCATCTCCGAGTAGGAAAATATGAACAGGAAGGGATCAATAGTCTGTTTTACGTAGGAGCCAGTGTGCTCCAAATCAACAACCATTTGAACATATACTGCTTCAAAGTGAACATTTGAATGTGATTAAAAGTAAATTATCAGTAAGTCACTTATTTTTTCAGTCCCAAAAAGGCATAAGATGTGGCATGGTTAGAGAGATTTGCAAGTCTACTAGGGAATCAAAGGTTACACTTCCTTAGGGGCTGAATTTTGCAACCTACATCAAAGGGGATCTTTTCTTTGGATGACCTCGTCTCTCTTATTGCTGCATGATAGTATTACAAAATCACTGCAGCAAGCTAGGCGATGGCGAAAAGAAACACAGACCCCCAGCTGTTCTTTGGACTTCAGTGCCTACCCTTCTTTCTTCTCTAGAACTCAAGCTGCCATGCTGGGAATGGCAGTCACTCGAGCTAGTTATTTTGGATATAGTGCAGAAATGGAATTCTGAAACCTGGTATACACCCCAGGTGCCAGAATCTTTCATTTTTATTCCTAGGTTCCCATTCTTCAAACTCCCAAACCCACTTCTCCACCCTATCCCAACCCTCCAAGTGGATCATGTCTTTCAAGCTTCAAATTGCCTCAAAGTGGAGGAAATTCACGGAAAAAATTCTCTAGCATGTCCCCTATGCCCTACAGCAACATCAGCTGAAAAATATCAGCAGCTCATTATTGGCACTTCAAATAAGAATAAAAAGAGATTTCCAAAACTGTTTGAAACTCTTGGGCTAACAATTCAGCCATCTGATGTTCTCTGCCCATTTCAAATGTAGTAGTATCTTAACATGAATACAAACACAGTAGATGAATAATGTAAAACCTTCCACTGCATTATTGTTTGGATTTAGCTGGTATTACATCACCTATAGTTCTAGAAGTATTTTTTTGTGTTTTTTATTTTATTTTTTAAAAGAAAAATCTCAGTACAAACATTAAAAAGAACCCACTGACCCATTAGCTACTGTCCAAAAATATTACTACTGGTATTTTGGTAAAAGCAAAATTAGCTGCCCTGAATAATTTTCCTTTTCAGGCATAATCTCTGCTACATAAGATTGTCTGTCATTCAATATCCAACAATAGGCATGTAGATTAGCGCTATTTTGTCTACTGTGGATACAAAAATTGATATGAAATGTGATCTTCATTTAAATGAATAATCACCAGGCTTTAGGCATCAAAACTGCATACATGACAAGGTAGCTTCAAAAGTATACAAAAAAACCAAAATATTTTTCCTTGGTTTTTGCATGTTAACCCAGTCAAATTAAATCCAGAACAGAATTATTACATTCAATTGTCTGATAAACAAGCAATGCAATCTCAAAAAAATATATATTATACTATATAAGGTGCTTTAAAACAAACAACAAAAGAATCATGTTCTTAAACATATTCTTAGCACAGATATATAAAACTGCCCCCAAATTTAGATGCACATATATGAAAAAACCTTTTTAAAAAATTTTTGGCCCTCCTGATTTCCCAGTGCTTTGGTAGTCACTTAGCTGGGAAACCAGAAATTAAGGAAACTCACTTTTCCAAACAGAACATACTGAGAGAAGCCTCGCAGCTCACCTGGGTTGTTGGCTTAGGGTCTCACCTCGCAGTGAGGTTTGCATTACAGACCATGAAGTCAGGGAAGGAAACCAAAGTTTCTTTATCGTTAAGAAAAGGAAATGACTCAAAATTGCACTAGAGAAGCAAAGGCCAGGAAGGCAACCCTGTGGCTGGAGCAATACTTTCTTTTTTTAGCCTGCTGGTCAAAGAATTCTTGTGGACCAGTTCTGGTCTTATTCTCCTGGTTTGTGCAGTTTAAGGACATGATTTGGGGGTGGGTTTGGGGGTGGCGGTCTCTTCTTCCCAAGATTGCTAGCTGATCTTCGGATGAGCTCTGAATAACCAAGGGCATGTGTAGTCTGACCAGGCTCAAGCAGCCTGAGGGGGTGAATTTTCCAATCCCTGCCCTCCGCCTCTTCCCCCCCCCCCGAATGTGCTGGGCTGAGAATGCTGTTCTCTAATGTTGCCCCTTCCAATCTGTGCCACATGGGGATGAAGAAGAGGCCAACCACTCAGCCGACTCCAGGGCAGCTCTGCTGTGCAGCGCAGAACCTGTGAAGTACGAACCACCTGCAGCCTGTGGTCTGGCCGCCCTGAGCAAAGGTGACCCTGTGGCAGTCTTATCCAGCTTCTCCCTTACCTTCTCGTTCTCTAGCAGTCACAATCATGCACATTTACTATTTAGCCCCATGCCCCGGGGCTAAAGAAAAACAAATCCAAAAGTATTAGCTGTATGCCAGCTCATTTAAACTGCCCTTGATCATGGCTGGGCTCTGAATAATTCAGTGTTAAGTCACACAGGAAGATCCAAGCAGAGCACCTTCTGCTGGTAAGTGCAAAACTCTACCAGAACAGGTCCTAAATCTGCCTTTACTGCAAGTTCTGGGGATTTGGGGGGGGGGCTTTCTTTTATAAAAAGGAAAAAAGAATTAGAACTTGTCCCTTATATGAGGAGACTTATCTATGTGGGAGTGACTTAACTGAAATTGACTCGTTTCCCATTGGTCATTGGGAAGCAAGAATCACCTGGAACCCATGACCTGTACATGTAGTGCTCTGGGAAGCCAGCAGTGGAGACTTGAGCAAGCTTGAAGGTTCAGTGCTTAAATTGACATGGTTTTGACCATTAGGGGATCTTCCTTCCCTGTGTGCATCTTGTATTCTTATAGGGCGAATGAATAGACAATTACCAAATATTGCGCTAAAGCCATGCAACGAGCAAAAAGGTCAAAATATCACTTTTTAACAAAGTGACACATTACATAAGAATACAAGAAGACGCTCTAAGGAACCCTTGAGTTAGCTTTCTCCAAGTCATCAATTAAAGGAGCCACTTTAAATTCTTTCCTGAGGCTTATTCTTGGAGCCGTCACAAAGTGCTTAGCAGAGGTGAAAAGTCTATTCTCCAGGCCTGGGTCTCAATGAGTAACTTCAATTTAGTTATCTCATAGAGTTCAGTCGTGAAGAGCCACAGGAATCCTCATACTTCATAATGTAGCAAAGGGAGGAAGAGAGCTGTTACAAAGATGTAGCCCTGGAATCCCTTTGGCTGTTCCCAACAGAAGAGGTGTCACTAAGAATGGAGCAAGCGAAGGAACAGTATCTCTTACTGGAAAGCCACTGCCAGTGGATGCATGCCGGAGTGTGCAGGAGCCAAGAGTTCTGCTGAAGTGACGCATGACAGGTAAAAGGCTGCAGGGATTCTCAGAACTGTGGGGAGGCCAGGCGCTCTCAGACTGTGTTAGGGAAACCCTCTGCTTCTTGGGGGACGTAGTATGTTTGCAAGGAATGTGCTGAGGAGGAGCCCATGGTGGCCAGCTGGCTCTGGCTGGGCTCCTCCGGGGACCCGCCCATGGGATCGGAGGGCGTGTTCAGGCGATGGGCCTCCAGCATCTCCAGCAGCAGGTCGTACAGGGGCACCACATTCTTGCACTTCATGTTGTACAGATGCTCCATGCCTTTGTTACTGTGGAGGACACAGAGAGGACCACGTTAGACCCAGAGTCCCATGAAGGAGAAATAAAAGAAAATTCAAGGACACCTGTAATGCCATCTTCCTTCCTATGCAAAGATCCCTTTGGGATGGCACCTGAAGAAGACTGAGGTTTTCAAGTCTCCCCTCTACAAAGGCAGGCCCACCCTCACACACTCTCCTTTCAGCCCGCTCCAGGGATTTCCTATTCAGGCGACTTCTTTCTACCTTCTGGCACATGGCTCTATTCTCCTGTATCACCATGATATCTAACAGGAGAACCTGACATGCAGCCAGTAGGAGTGCAGTTTTTAAATACGTCAAGCGGTTCAAGAAACTCCCATGCTGAAGCCTCTCAGTGGATTCCCATCAAACTCAGAAGAAAGTGAAAAGTCCTGCCCACTCTCTCCGAGGCCCTCCTAATCTGCCCTGGTCTCCCTTGGCGAGCTCATCCTGCCTTGCACCTCTCACTCACTCTCCTTAGCCACACTTCCTGCTCCTTAGGGAACTGAGTCCTCCCAGAGGCAGGGTGTCTGCACATGGTGGGTCCCTCATTCTGGCTGCATTGCTCCCAGGTCCTCAAATGCCACCTCCTCTGAGGTTGTTGGTGAGGCTTCTGTTAGCCTGTGCCAATGGTCTCAGACCCTTGCAGTCTCAGCTGCTGTCTTCCACATCATTCCTTTCTCCCTAACACGCTTATTGCTGGAATTCTCCTATGAATTTATGTGTGTTTGTTCTTCCCAACTCCAAGAGTGCACACACACACAAACCAGCACATACTGTGCAAGTTCCAGCAGGGACAAGGATTTGTTCACCCTGTTCTCTACCATAGCCAGAACAGTACCCAGAACTTGGTAAATGTCCTGCAAATGGGGGATAAACAGGAGGAGGGAAATGTAAGCACATGGCATTTTTCCCATGCTCCTCCTCTACCCTCCTCCATCAACCAGGGCTCTGCTCTGTCCCTAACACAACACAGGATGGGGATGGGAGGACAACATCCACTCTCTAGCTGGGAACTTCTTTAAAAGAAGCATGTGCCAAGAGTAGGCAGGACTACGAGAATGTCCTAGCAAATATCTGCATTGTTGGTGAGGCTAAAGCCAGCATAAGTTGGAGCCCTGCCATGAGATACAGCCCACAGCCCTTCAGGTTGGCAGGCCAACCTAAATCACATGTTTAAGTGTTATTTTGTTTTTGCTTTGCTTTTTAATTTAAAATGCTGTTAAAGTTAAATGCCCCTTGGGTCTGGCAGTGTCTCCTTCATGCAACCTAATGAATCACATTTACAGTCAGATGAAATATGGTGTTAAATTCTGTGAGTAGGAACATATGGCTGGGGCCAAGCTTAATAAAACAGCTCTATGATTGAGAGTGGCTGTAGTAAGGTTCCAAAATACTAGTGTGTGTGTGTGTGTGTGTGTGTGTGTGTGTGTATTTGTGTGAGAGAAAGACGGAGATAGAGAGACAGAAAAATTCACAGAGAAACATAGAGACAGAAATGGGTAGAAGCAGGGAAAATGCCCCCAGATTTCTATAGAATTGTACCTTCTCTCTAGATTTTTGCACAGTTCCAAAAGAAACCACTTGCTGATAGAATCTCTGCCATGCATTTCCAGTAAAATCAGTGAAGGCTAAATTTTTAGTGTAGATACTCTTGTTATTACTGGTGACTAACTGGGCTTATTAACGTGGATAAGCAATTAATGGCTCTGAGAAGTCACCAATTCCTACCAACAAAATAAAAGCATTCCTAGGTGCACATGACGTCTGCAACACCACTTGAAATCCCTATCTTGGAGTAAATGCTGGCAAGTTTGTTTTCAAGGGAAAGATTACCCTCATGGCCAGGTAATCTGTCAGGGGCTATGTTATTCAGATCGATTCTCTGCTTCCCTCTCTGGGATATTAACGAAAAGAAAAAGACAGGAAAGGGTTGGAAATGTTTACTCTGAAGCAGCCACCTTCTGTACCTGGCAAGGGCCTGTTCCACAGGTATTCTTGGGGAGTCATGAGGAGAGAGATTCCAACTATTTCCCCCAAATATGGCCATGTGGAAGCCTTTCCTCATGAATTTCAAGTTCACAGGACAGGGAAAAACATGCCATGAGTCATGTAGTCCCTAATTCATTCACTTCTTTATGATTCACTTAATCAATAATAACATTGTGAGCACATATTACCGTAGATGTAAATTTTCAGTTATAGCACTCTGTGGGATAGAAAAGGGAGAAGATTATTTCTGTGCTCACAAGAAACTAACAATTTTGCAAGACTGTCTCCAGGAAGGAAGACACCTGGGTCTTTAATGGCACTTCTTGCCATTTTAATCACAGAGCTCAAGACTTGAAGACTATTTAAATTACCCCACCTTTTTAGATATCTTGGTCCTTTCCTAATAGCTGCGTGGGGAAGTGATCTCTTTTTAATTCCTAGGGGCTTGGTGTAAGCCCAAGGTCACATTGTAACCCAAAGATGTCTGCCCCTCTAGCATCACCACTCCAGACTATTGTCACTATCGTGGGCTTTCTGGAGTCTGCAATAAAGAATCCATCATTTTTTTCATCTCTTTCCAAAAGGCTGAGCTATGCTTAGAAGCATGATATACAACAAGCCTGTGGCCAGTCCAGTTTATGATTATTTAGAATGCAATTGAGGTCATCTCCATCTTTTGGCATTGAAAGAATCTGTTTCCCCTGCGGATGTCCTTCCTTGGTTTCTCTAGAAAATATTTTTTGAATATTAACTATGTGCCCAGCACTATGCTGGGTTGAATTGGGTAAACAGAGTAATCAAGGCAGATTGTGATGAGTGCCTCACAGAGCTTATAGTCTAATGAGGCAGAGAGATAATAAATATGTGCAATTATGACAGGGAAAAGCAGGGCATAAGTCCCACATAGGTCTTCACAGTCAGTATGTGCTTCTGCAAGGAGTGGCATCTAAGTAAAGATAGGTTAGATTCATATTCTGAAATATTTACTCCCCTGCCATGTGTCTGTGATCCTTGGCTCTGTGATTTGCCAGCTGACTCTCTTAGCTAACGGAATGTTAGTAGACATGATGTGACCAAAAGATTCGAATGAAGTTGCCCAACTGGCCTTGCTTACTTGTGCCTCTGCCATTGTGAAGAGAACTCGTCCCAGCTAACCTGTGGATAACAAGGAGGATGAGACTCGAGACAGGTAAAGCAGAGGAAGCCAGCCACCCCAGAGACCCTGCAGAGGTGGGAGTGAGCCCCAAGGAGATCCCTGAAGCAGCTGGCAGTGGAGCTTCCAGATGACTCAGAGAGCACTTTACCACAGGCTCAGACAATGAGGAGGTCTCAGTAAATTACATAGGGCTGGACCACAAGGAGCGATGTGAAGAAAATGAAGAGAGTTACATCTTCATCTAAAAGCCATGGGAAGCCCCTCAAAGGTTTTAAGCAGGGAGACCACATGATCTGACTTGATTTTTAAACTGATCACTTAGTTACATCATGGAAAATGGACTAGAAAAGACCGTGATTAAAGGCAGCAAGGTACATTAGGGGCTGGTACCAAAATCCAACAGAAAATGACAGTGACTTAGACTAGGTTATGGCAATGGAGGTGATAAGGTGTCAGTGTTACTCTCCAAGAGGCATCTGGTAGAGCGTGTTTCAGTTAAGGCTTTTCAGTGTAAGTAGGGGAAAGTGTGTCACAGGAACACTAAGGGACATGCCCAGGGCCTTCAGAGGAAGTACAAGTCACCCATTTCCTCCGATTGGCTTCTTCTCCCAGTGCTGCAGGACCCTGCCCACTTCCTCTAGAAAGCCCTCTCTGGCATCTGCCCAATGCCCCAGACAGAATCGGTACCCCCTCTTCTATCCTCCCTCAGCACGTGAGCTTATGATGTTCAGAAACTATTCCAAGGGCACCCTCCACATGCAGGTAGAAGACCTTTCCCGGCCCAGCTGTCACACGGGTTGGATGAGCTCTTCTTAGGTCTCTGCTCTGAGACCCCACGGTGCCTCACCTCATGTGCCGGATATGGGAGAGGATGAGGAGGAGCTGAGCCAGGCGTCGATGCTGCTGTTGCAGAGTCAGGCCTGCTTTGGCCATCAGGTAGATCAAGGTGTCTGTGATCTTGTCCAGGACCCGGTGGATATGGTCTTTCTCTTCCAGAGTCTTCAAGGTGCTGGACAAAAAGGTGTACACTCCTGAATGAAGAGAGGGAGAGAGGGAGAGGGAGAGGAGGGGGGAGGGAGAGAGAGAGAGAGAATATGACTCAAAGAGGACACAGTCTAAAAACTGGAAGTGTCCCTGGGGCATAAGTAGAGCCAGGGACTTTCCCTACACAGCAGTAAAGCTGTGAAGCATCATTCCAGACCCATTTGAAACCAAACAGTTCAGTGACATTCTCAATGAGTGTGCATGTCTGCGAGCCTCAAGAAGTCAATGTGGCCCCTGTTCTCAGCCAAGATTCTGAGGAGAAATGCCAGCCTTGGGGCTATAGTGAGAATGTTGGCCAACCCTTCTCGGACCAATCAACAGGAACTGACCATTTAACCCCAACCATAACTCTAAGGAGAAACCATTATTGTTTCTTTGGGGGAAGAGAAGTGAATGAACTTGCCAAGCTAACTCAAACTCAAAAAATGTGGAGCGGAGCTCATACTGTGCCAACTCCACGTCTGGTAATGACAAGGTAGACTCTCAGGAGACACGGGCGAGCTTCAAGATGGTGAAGAGTAACTAGATAAGTCATTGGAAGGTGATTTTCCCAGGTAGGATTTAATTGGCTTCTGTTTCTGATGAGGTTTGTGGTCTATGAATTTTTGAGCTTTAGCTGAAAAGATTATGATATGGGCAGGTACAGAGGACCTTGAGAAGAGCTGTGTCTGATGCCTGACAGGCTTGTTCTCTCTTTTCCTTCTATACTCTGTGCCATGGGTAGGTTTGGGACTGAATCCCGGGTCATTCTGGCACTCTGATTTGGACAGAACTAGTCCCAAGCCAGACGATCAGAGCCCTCTTCTGGGATTGTACATAGAGGTTGTGAGCCAGAATCTCCTTCCTCTCAGGGTGCTAGGCTCGGAGATGAGAATATTGGATAGGGCCCTGAACGGCTCTCTTCCCAGCACATGTATCTCTTTCTGCTGAAAAAGCCGAGCAGCAGTAAGCAGAGCCTAGAGTTATATACATGGGGTGGGGCAGAGGGAGTCCAGATTCAGCGACAAGGGCCTAGTTCTTACACATTTTTCATTTTACTTTTGAGCTTTTATGGACTCCTCCTGACATATGAATCAATCAATTCTTTTGAGGATTAAAAGAATGTCAGTTGAGTTTCTGTTACTTGCAACAAAAAGAATCCGAACTTCCCAGGAGGGGCAGAAGGTGAGTGGTAAGGATGTAAAGACCGATGAGAATAGGAAGAGGAGAGCAAGATGCAACCACGGGAATAGACTCTAAAAGTTAAAAATCTCCAGAAATAAGCACCCAATCACAGCGTCTTACAGGGATAGGTGACACAATGTTTTTCTGTAGATTATGAATATGCGGCAACATTTTTCTGCCTACTTCTCTTCAGCCCACTGATCATTTCATAGCACAGGTCCCCTTACTACCTCTCCCTGTCGTCAAGGTAAAGGCTCTCAAGTGTATCAGTCCCCGATTGACACAGTAACATGGTGACAAGTTACTGCACATACAACAACCTGTTGTCTGGGTATGAGAATGAATATAGATGGGGGAGGGGCTCACAGCAAACAGAACTGTAACTGCCCAGAACATGGCTGTGCTTTAAAACAAAACACAAAGAACAACACAACCAGAATGATCAGGGTCTCAGTCATGCACCGTGGAGCAGAACAGAACCATATAGCTTCTGGTCTAGTGAAGCACACCAACCCAGAGCAAACAGAGGGCAGAATAAGAAAGCAGCAGGCAGGCAGTAGGCTAGGAAATTGCTGGATTGCTTCACTTTGGTTCTGTGTGGGCTGTTGGCAGAGAAAGAATGTATCCATCAGAAAGATGGGCAAATGTCCAGGGGCCGTGGGTTGACCTAGAAGTAGCAGGGTTGTGTGCTGTGGTGGGCTGGGGTCAGGGGTGGCCTCAGCTGAGCTCGCTATTGGCCCTGCCTCTCGAGCTCCACCCTCTGTGTCATCATCCATACTCTAGCCTCATCTCGGAGGGGTCCTGCTGTGAGTTGGATATCCTGGGAACCTACCCAGGCCACAAAGCTGTTAGCCCGACTTGAATGATGCAATTTCTACCAATTTCCTTTTTTCTTACCGCCCAGGATTCTGGCCTCATTCCCCAATAATCCCTTTCTTCTTCAAGGAAACCCTAGAATGGAGGATCAAACAGCTTGGGGGATTCCTGTGTAGGAAGGTGATCTTGGTTCATCCCTTTTGTCCCTCTTGTGTGCTCAGCAGTGCTGAAACTTCAGTCATCCTTTCAAAGGCCAGCATTTTGTGATGCTTTTTCCAGCGGAGGTGAAAGGTGACACTCAGACTCGGGTGAGCCGAGCTTTCCCTAGGGCTGCCAATTCCCAGTCCTCCTCCATATGCGTGTGTGCATAGGCTCCGGCATCTAGCAAGCATTTATTGAGAACCTATTGTCTGCATCACTACCCTACTTGATAGGAATTCCAAGCCTGATTTCCTTTCAAGTGTTAAAATTTTGAGAGCCGATACTGCCTATGGAGAGAGAATATTCTTAACACAGACGCTCAGGATGCAGGCCACTCTCAGAACAAACCCATTTTGCTAATCCTGTTTTGGCACCAGTACAGTTTATCATCTCATCCTTGTCAGCAGATGTTTCCTAGCTGTGCAAATATACTTAGAAATAAAAATACAGTCCTGTCGAAATGCCAATAATTGACAACAGCGGCCGTTACCCTTTTGGACTCTTCTGGCAAAACTCAGACCATGTTTGCTGTCCGTTGCCTTTAAGGAGCTGTTGGAGAAACAGCAGCAATCCAATTCCCAGAATGCTTCAGGTGCTCTGGCAACTGCTGTTAATGAGCAAGAGCAAACCAGGGCTGCTGGTAATTTCCAAATCCCAGGTGGTCTCTGCCACGCTGGACAGCCGCACCACAGTTTCCAGCAGCACAGGGCCAGTAAGCAGACAGTGAGGCCTTCAGAAAGAGTCTTGCAACAAGGCAGCTTTTGCAACTCTGGAGGGTGCTTCAAATCCCAAAGATGAGGGGGAAAAAAGAGAAACAATCTGTATGTCATTACACAGGCTTGAGGCGTGGTTGGCAGATCCGAGCTTCTACTCATACTGAATCTTGCAGCCACAGCTGGCAGATTTAGGAAAAGTCTGTGGGGAAACCTCTTGGCAGAGAAGAATGGGAGTAAAACCATATGGACACCCTTGTGTGTAACAGGTCTTCACCCTTTGGCTCTGGTTAACCCGATTCTTCTCTCTCCTCTCCTGCCAAGACACTCGCTTCCTGCTTCCCTTTCTGTCCCTGCCCTGTAGGAATCCGCTCAGCTGTTTCCCAGATGACGGAGTCTCCTGGAAGCCAGGGAAGGTGGGCTTGGACACTGCTGGGCACCATGTGTCTGTGGCTGTGACCAGAAGGAGGAAGAACAGGCATCCCCCAGGGGCCTTGCTTGCCCTGCCTTTGACCTCCACTTGGATGGGGGAGCACATCTGACTGCCTATAGGGGAAGCAAGGAATGTAGGCAGAGGTCCTTGCCCATCAACTGCTTGAGGACAAGTTCTTCAAACAAGGCCACATGCATTATTATTATTATTATTATTATTATTATTATTATTATTATTATTATTGTTTCCAAGGAAGAATT